CATTTGTCCACAGGGTGCACAGAAATCAATGCAAACCGAAAGTGCCCGATAGGTTAGATTAAAAATCAAGGACTAAGACTCTACAGCAAGCAGGTGGAGGCTACTTTTAAGGCTAGCGCTGCTGCTGAGCTAAATGCTAACACCAGCATGCTCAAAATGACAATTCTAATAGACGTTTTTTCGCACTCAAGTTGTTCAACTTTTACTATTTGAGAAGGCAAGTTGCATGCTGTTTTGTAGCATCATTAGCACAACGTAAATATGCATTTATTCTGAGTGTTAGGATGGCCTATTGGCCTAAGAAAATTAGACAAAAAAAAAATCAGAATGCAGTCCCATTGAATGTATTTATCCTGAATACAATAAAAATAATAATTGCAGAAAATATAACAAAATGCAAAATATGAAAAAAAAAAAGTCATAGACTGAGCTCTACACGATGCCACTCTGTTTTCACTGCTCGTCACTCCAACAGACCAACAACAACTTTGCAACTCCAAACACGAATCAAACCCAAAGATCTGCAGCTTCCTCTTATATTGTTGTTTCCTAGCAAGAAACAATAATGAAGGTTATCAATTAAGTATCAGGAGAGTAACGCCTGTACTTCAAAGGACATCTGGTGAAAAAGCAGAACACATTTAAGGAGAGTTCATTCTCCAAATGCCATGAGAGAACTTTTCTTATCTCAGCAACCTAATCACCCCTCTACCTTGGTGTCTTCCACTAGGCATACCTCCCCATAAGTCAATGGCAGGCTTCTGTGCTTTAATATGCCGTCTTTGTGGTGAAGTTGACAGAGCAGGCGCCCCGATGAACAGAGGCCATGGTCCTCATTGTACCGGTCACAGGTTCCACTCCATAATTCCATGGTAATTCATTCAATACTTTTTGAAATAAATTTTTTTTATGCCAAATTTTCATTCTCTGCACTATGTCCACATAAAATGTTATGCATCTGAAATCGATATCAGCAACAGCAGTTTTAACTGTCACTTTTTCAGTAAGGCAAGAGGTTAGCGTAAAGACATCTGGACTTCTGAACTACACGTGAATGTTATCAACAAGGAAATAAATGTGTAACACTGTGTCATGGGGAAGATAGTTTTGCTGACTCTTCCTTGTTGGTTTATATTGAGTGACCTTTGCTACCTGCTGCTCCATACACTTTGGATTGTTCATATTCACCTGTCCTTTTCCAAATGTAAGAAAATGTTTTGTCTTTTGATCAATTTATGAACCCTTATATCATGTTTGTCTAAATCTAAATTTTTTCTTTGGTAAGGCGACAAGGCTATTTAAGAAGCCCTGGTAAAACTTTGCTTTGTCTGGCAACTTTCCCAGCTTCACTAACTTAATGATTTACTAGTCTGAGTATAATTCTCTATCTAAAACATTCCCTTTAAGTTTTGATACATTCTCAAGCTCTACTCCACATTAGCTGTGCAGCATTCCTCAATGTAAAAAAAATGACTTTTCCCCCGGCTTTGTTTGAAATTCAATGTTTGTAGAAAGACCCCAGTTTGGATTAACTCATGGTGTAAAGCACAAAAGAGCCCAATAACCAGGACAGGCTCACAGATGGTGGCTGGATCATACCGAGGATTGACCTTGTTTCCTCTTCAGATCTGGATTTGATTCGGCATAATCCTGGCCCAGTGACTGGCTGACTGATCATCTTTGGATAAAACTGATGTCAGCAAGTTTATTTTCTCTCTTAAGAAGGAAAAGAAAAGCACAGCAACTCTGTTTGAATTTGACCTTCGGGTGCCTCATGAGGACCCGAGCTGTAAAAACAACAGGCCCAGTGAGAAAGCGAAGAAGGCCTGCAGCTGAATTATTCTTATATTAGCACTCTAGGCACCGACACATTTCCAGATGTATTCTGATAAAATAACAGCATGCACCCTGACACTGCAGGTTGTGAATTAATCTTTTAGTTGAACATGATTTCTATTGGACCTATTCCAACCACTGATTATTGAAGTTAAATCATGAAACAAGGAAAACCCAAGACAATGTGTTTTCATAGCTGCATTACATTAATTGAAAACAGTTTTTATTTATTTTTAACACACTGACCTAATATTCAGCCTGACCTACATACAGAAAGCTTAAGTGTCTCTACTAGAACTCTGAACACAACACATCACACTGAATGAGCTGTGAGCGTGGTGAACACTGTAGATGCAGACCAAACAGCTAAACAGTGAGCTGAAAGTCACTGCTAATGCTCTGCTTTGCTAAGGGAAGCAACAGAATAAGAATTAAAATAACACTCAGTTGTACTTTCTTTTTTTTTTTTTTAAACATTGACAATAGGTTCCTTAAAGCAAATTAAAGTAATTTTCCATTGTTAACTTAAACTTTCAAGGGAACCAGTGAAAGGAACAACCTCCTAGATGAAATGTTGTGGGATGCACATGTTCAGTATTTGTTATTATAAGTGAGTTATCCTCGCGCTCTGCACAGAACCATCCTGTTTATATTTTTAAGTCCATGTGCGTGTGTGTGTTTATGCACCCTCTGGACTCACTGACGAATGGTGTTGGTGGTGGTGGTGGTGGTGGTGGGGAGGGGGGGTTCAAAAGGATAAGTGTCGAGGGGAGGGGTGGAGCAGCAGCTCCCACCACCTGCCACCCGTGGGTTTGTGTGAAGGTGGGGTTTAGGGACCCATGGGGAAGGGATTTTGGAGGGAATGTACTCCAGTTTTAGCGGCTTCTTCTCACGTGAGCGTATGCACAGAGACTCAAAAATCAGACCTGTCCCTAATCTACACCACCAAATCTGGCCCAGAATGAGATTTTGCAATAATCTGACCCCGCCTTTAGACATAACACTAGTGTGACCTGCATGCTGCAGAACAAAAACACAAAGGATGTTTACAGGGTGTGTTGCTTGCATGAAATTCCTCTCTGGATCTGGATCAAAACAATGGTTGTTGTGGCGTTTTGGTGGTTTAAACCTCTAACACTGAACAAAACACAAAAAAGTGTCACGTTTTCATTTGACTTTTTAAAAATAATGCATACATTCTTAATGAATGCAAATACCCTACTGCATTTCTCAACATTCTCGTCTGAGAGCATTAACTGTAGCTGCAGACATTGAGCTTTAAAAATGGTGCAAAGGTCGACACTGAACATTTAGTGTCTGTGTGTTTTGAAATGTAACATCCATGTGATGCTTCATAAGCACTATTGCAGGGTGTAAATGACAACATGAGTCTACAAAAAGCACCTTGTCTTCTCTTGTAATCCTGTCTTCATACTGTTCTTTGGTGGCTTGACTCTGTTGTGTAATAAGTGAAGCAGAGTGCAGTGTTTTCCTGAGGGAGAGGAGGAAGGAGAAGCTCTGAGGTCAACAACAATAAGGCCTGTACCAGAAACTTATCAACCGTTTAAAGGCGCTTCACTGCATCCCTTTCATGCTACTACAGAAGGTCAAATTTAGCCGGGGACACCTTTGAACCAGAAAGGATTGTGGGTATTTTGAGAGATACCTGCACAGAGAGTGCAGATTATATCGCACCTGCTGTGCCGGTTTAAAAAGCAGCGAGAGAAACAAATCCTTTCATGGAGCTTTTGTCTGCTCCGTCTTGTGATCTCACACTAAAAGGGAGAACATCTCAGACGTGAATATAGGCCAAAGACTCTGTCTTCTTTGGCTGCTTATTTTCCCCTGCTAGCTTGAACTATAAATAATGCAAAGACCCCCCCCCTCCTCTCTGCACATACAAAACCCCCAGGTTTTTGTAGGGTATCCCCTTTTTCTTACACGGAACCCACCCCTCCTGTTCACTTTTTTTTAATTTGCTCCATCTCTTTCTTTTCCCCCTCCCCCTCTCTTTCCCATTTATTCCTCTCTTTTCTCAATCCCCCCCTCTCGTCTCCCTTTCATTTGCTTCCCCTCTCGGCCTTGTTTAAAGATCTCTTGCTCTCGGTGCAGGCTGCAGAGTGGCAGATAAGACGCACAGAGGACAGAATGATAATCATGTTTAGGTGCAGCAGTGATGCCCGGCCAGCGTTCAGTCTGAGCGTGTCTGGAGGAGAGTGTGTGATGCTGGTTTGTTATTGTGTCCCAGTATGACTCTGCACCATGTACAGGAGAGTGTGTGACTGTGTGTGACTGCGTGTGTGTGTGTGTGTGTGTGTGTGTGTGTGTGTGTGTGTGTGTGTGCAGGAACAGGAGAATAAAGCAGTCACTCTATTAAGCGACAACGAAAGGACTGTTTTCTTTATTAGTTTGTCACCTTTACTCTTTCCTTTCCGAACACATTTTGGCTTCTCCTTTCTCTCCTCTTACATTTTCCTTTCCTTCCTTTCCTCCATCACTTCCCCCTTTTCATTTCCTCTTCTTTCCTCCCCTCTACCCTTCTTTCCTTTCCTTTCCTTTCCTTTCAACTCACCAACCCCCTTCCTATTTTTTCCTCTATGGCCACCCCTTTCTTTTTTCTTTTCTTGTATGTCTCTACCCCTTTCTCCTTGCCTACCCTTTCCCCCTTTCTCTCTCTACCCTTCCTAGTCCTCATCTTTCTTTTACTTTCCTTACTCTCCATCCTATCTTCTTGGCCTCTAATTTCTTCTCCTACACTTGTCTGCTCCTACCTTTTCTCTCCTCTCCTTGGTTTTCCTCCTCTCCTTGCATGTCTCCTATCCTACCTCTCCTCCCTTTCTCCCCCCCCTCTCCTCTGCTTCATCCTCCTCTCTGTCCCTCCCTTCTCTCCACGTATTTCCTCTTCTCTCCTGTCCCATATTCTACTTCTCTCTCATTTTTTACTCAGGCTATTCCTCTTGTGTCCCCCCCCTACCTCTCTTGTCCCTATCTCCACTCTTCTATTCAACCCTTTCCCTTCCTTTCATCCTCTCTTCCTCACTCCTCTGCCATCATGACAGAGGAGGAGGATCTTTCCGGCAGGCCCAGCCCCCCCTGCGCTCTGACTCGTCCACTCAGTGTGACAGGGGAAGGCTGGGCTGTCCCGAGCTTTATCTAAACACTCACACACACACACACACACACACACACATAAACACACACACAGAGCCTCCCTGCGCTCAGCTCAAGCCCTCTTAAAGCTGTGTTTTTTTTCTGCTGGAGATCAGCGCTAGCTAACGACACACAGCTGCTTCTCCCGGAGACAGAAGGACAAGAGGAGGGAGGGGAGAACAAGGAGAGAGGAAAACAAAACCGCCTGCAGCCTCTTAACTTCTGTGTCTCTGCTGCAGCTCGTTCCTCTGCAGGGACTGTTTTCTGCTCGAGTTCAGGACTTTTTTTTTTTTTTAAAAAGGAAAAGGTTGGAGGTTGGAGTTCGCATGCCATAATCGGAGTGAATGGGTTGCCATGGTTACTCACCCAGGGAGCTTGACCCGTGCTGAGTGAATGGAGGGAGCGCCAAGTGAGCGATAAACTAACGGAGGGGAGTCACCAGAGAGAGAGAGAGAGGAAGAGAGAGGAAGAGGAGAGAGAGAGAGAGAGAGGAAGAGGAGAGAGAGAGAGAGAGAGAGGAAGAGGAGTGGTGGATAACAGAGGAGCAGAGCAGAGGTTGAGAATGGAGGACGGCTTTTCCAGCTACAGCAGCCTGTATGACACCTCATCACTGCTACAGTTCTGCAACGGTAACACCAACTTTAATCCTCTTCCTGTCCACCCCCCCCCATCCCTCCTGCTGCATGTTTGTTTCTGTGGGTTTGACATGTCACCAGCTGACTGGCTAAACTTGACTCCAAGTAGAGATGTGTGTCTCTGTGCTTTCCTGACTTGAGCTATTTTAGCTCCAGTAAAGAAATGGGTCATATTTGAAGTTGTAGTGCATGGTAGGAGTCTAGTTTGAGACTATTTTAACTTTGCAGATATTTAGACAGAAAACTTTGCATGGTAAACATATTGACAGGGGACATTACCAGACTACTATATCACAATCAAAAGGTTACAGGTGTGTTTATAATGTTTTTTTGTTCTAGTTAAAAAGCAAATTAAGCAGCATTTGATTACAGACAGTGATCAAAACAGAATAGAAATTAAAGACATGCCCTGCAGTGTAAAGTGAAAATGCTTTATCTTTCTTATAGTTCCCCTCATTTCTTCGCTTGGCAGATGTATCCCCAGACATTTGATTTGAAAATAGGGACAAAAAAAATGCCCCGGAATCAAGGGTGGGAACCGTTCATTTTAAATTTTACAGTGCATGATATTTCCCTCCTTTGAAACTTGGCACAGATTTGGCTACATACAGTACGTGATCACAAACATATTGAGAGAGGGTATTTACATAAAAACAGTGTGTGGAATTGAAGGGAAGTCTCCAGAAATCAAGGCCAGACTAATGTCAACAGTGAATGTGAGCCAGCAGACGTCAGGAGAGCCAATAAACAAAGACAGGGAGAGCAAGAGGAGCCGTGGGTTAGCTCACAGCGCTGCCCTGATTACTCTGGTTCTGCTTGATGTGACGAGGGCTCTGTTATGAATATATTTCCCCCCTGTTGGCTGAATGAGACAGAACAGGACAAGACACTATCGCTCATGTTGTCTGCTAATGGCATTTGTTCGCTTACAGAGGGAGAAACGGTACTCAAGGCAGTTATGGGTGGGAGAGAGAGGGTGACTCAGGGAAGAAGGAAAGCAGCGTGACACATCAGAATGACATCAGTTTTGGGATCTAATTCTAAGAAGCTCTACTTTCTATTCTTTTAGCGTAATACATTTATTTGACATGTATTTGACTTTGAACAAAAACAGCTCAATTGCACACAGAAAAAAAGTGCTTTTACCTCAGTGTAAAACACACAAATAATGAGACTCCAGTATGTTACTCACTGTCTGCATACTAACAGAGTACAGTTAGTGAGCCCCCCTGCACAAAGAGGATTATCCCCAACACAATGACCAGTGTCTCCAATAGAGACCGCCACTGTAGTAGAGGGAATTTAAAAACAGGCTGCAGTGCTGATATGAGCACATTCAGGGACCCCCAAAAAGAGTAACAGAATAGTTTCCCTGTTGTTTTCAATGGACATGTAACATTTTTCAGTGTCTCCTTTGCAGTTGCAATGTGGTTAGCGAGTATAATTGTTGAAGCGTGGAGTAAAGGGTAATTGCCAACGGTGGATAATGAAAAAATCTATAATATTTACTGCGCTGTGTAAGCACTAGCAGTCGATGGGATGAGGGAATACTGGTGTCCATCAGAGCAAATCCTGGAAGTAAAATTACAAAGCGGTGTCTCCCACCCTGAATACTGGAATGCTGGTCTACTTTCATGAATCACTGATGAGGGGAATCTATTGAAAGCTTTTTTTTTTATCCCTTATGGACTTCCCTCATTAAATTGACAGTAACTGCAGAGATAGACATGCAGACAAAGAGAAACAGAGTTGCAGAAGGTTATGTTGAGATAGATCATTCAAAATGGGGTTATATATCTTCTAAGTTAACATATTCAGTGTAAATGTTCCAACATCCCGGACATGGAGGGCTTCCTGTGGGACATCAGGTGCATAAATAACTAACTGAAGATGTAACATTTGCTTCATTTGTTTATGGCAAGTTGTGTGAAATCAGTCATAATAAGGAAGAAGGAAGAAGTAATAAGGTCGGGCATCAGACGGTATCAGGTTTCACAAATACATCATTGTATGATCAGTGCTGATTTCACCACCCTCTGTCTCTGAATACTGGAGAAGCTATTATTATCTATAACTAGCAGGAGATATTTCTACATTTCTGCTCAAGTAGGGTTCCTGTGACATGAGCAAAGTGCTGACAGTGCCAAAGAAAACAGCTGGAGTGAGTCTGTCAGACTGACCTGAAAAACCGGTGTAGCTGTTGATGTGCAATGTCAGAAAAAGAGCTCTACTTGAGACACAAATCTCACAAATTACAGAGCAAGGGCAAGTACAGCATGTCAGTATTGTGGAACACATGTGTTGCCCCTGAGGCTCAGCGGCTTGGGAAGAAGTTAAGTGTCAGAGCAAACAGAGACAGTCATAGGCAGCAGCCAGTAGGGTCTTAAGATCCCCCTGAAAAAAGCCTAGCCGCCAAAAATCTCGATCCATGTAAGATAACTGCTCTGGCTATGTGGTCGCACGACTGTGCATTTAAAAAAAAACGTCGTTCCAGTGCTTGTTTTGCAATTTGATTGGTTGGTTCACATCATCCAGGTATGATTTGAACCCACCAATCAAGGTGTCCTATTAGGTATTGTTGCAAGTCTGCATGTTGTGAGACATCATAAACATGTTACTCGTACAGTTTTTGGTCCAGGATTCACTCCCAGCAACTTACCCAGTTGGTTGAAAAAAAAAAATACCTTTAAGTTAATCTGATTACATACCAAATAACGTTTGTGAGGGAGAGCGTTTGGTAGGTCACGTCAATCACAGACCGTTAATTCAAGCTTTGAGGATGCCAACATGGTGGAGACATTTTGTCGCAGCAAATGGGGAAAAGATTTAATATTGCAAATGAGCGTCACTGAAAGCAAGAGATGTGTGTCGTGCACTGTGTGCCTTGAGCTAACATTAGCTTCAGCTAGCAGGAAGTCGTGCTAATTGTGTTAATTCAAAGCTGAATTCCTTTGTAAATCCGCGGATGCTTTTTTGTTGTGACTTGATTTTGTTTTGTCTTTGTTTTGTTAAGTAGTTTAAGGTACAGAATGAAGTCTCACCCAGTCTACATTCAGTAAGCTTGTGATTACACACTTTAACACATGTTGCCCTGTCATGGCCAGCACCCAGAGTTAGAGCCTTTGGGTTTTCTTACCGTGCAAGGTTGTTTGTAATCCTTTACAATGTCATGTTCCCTCTCTGAGAGAGGCTGATGAATTAAGACATGCAGCTCAGAGGCTGTTGCCAGGGATCTCCAAACTTTCGTCGCCTTGCTTTCTCTCTATTCCCTTCACGAGACAAAGGACTAAAAATAAACCAAATTGATTCGAGGTAAATAGGCCTTGTTCTAACAGACTGCATAATTAGGTTAGCCTTAGTTACGATGTGTGTGTGTTTAAGTCTGTGACAGTAGCGCTCACACATTTGCAGGACCGCGGTGTTTGTGTGTGTTTGTGTGTGTGTTGTTCCTGTAGGCAAAGTGATATCACACTGCTGTCCAGCTGAACCCAACCCCACTCTAAGCAAAAGTAAATGATGTCATTCATGGCTCTTCCACTCTCTCTCTCTCTCTCTGTTTCTCAACCCGTGTGCTGTGGATCATCCAACCAAACTAATGTTCAGAGACTAGGTCAGCTAAACTGCAGACACGCGCAGGCTGCATGCTTTGTCCTCAGGAGGTCACAGCTACAGTAGCTCATCAGGCTAACTGAAAATTAGCCTCATTACACACTCTGACACGCGCACACACACACACACACACACACACACACACACAACTGATTACAGCTGATAGAGGAAGAGGATCCTTTAGAGGAGCTCTTGTTATCTAGATCAAATCAATAAAATCACAATTTGCAGTATGTTGGTCCTAGAGAAGAGGACAGTTGAGAATGAATTAGTCTGTGTTGTGCTCCTGGTAATGAGGTTGCTCTAGCCCCTCTAATGCACCAACGAGGGCTGGTATTGTTTTTTCAATCAGTCATTTTCTTATCCCTCATTCATACTTTAATTAGTGAGTAAAATGACCTAAAGTAGAAAGACATGTCTTAAATTCGAAGGACCAAAAGCTCCCAAAAGGTATCAATCCAGAAAGTATCAGTCTGAAAAGTATCAACCCTCCACCTATTGGATATATTACTTTCCCTGTTTACTGTAAGATGTGTCTAATACTTTAGTGTATGATCAAAACCTTACTAAACTAAAGCAGGTTTAAAGTTCCACAAGTTCAGTTTCATATCACACAATGGAGTTAGGAATCAAGTGGCTGTTTGGAAGAAAAGCTCTTATTGGCAATAATGTTTGGTGTGCCAAATATGCGGCCCAAATGTGCATGGTCATGATTGCTTGTAGACATAAGAGAAAGCAACCTTTTGTTCATTTTCGCTTCAAGCCCCCATAGCTCTCCATATTTTACCACCTAAATCTGTTAATAAGTCAATCCGGCTCACTTACAGCGCCGTACTACTCATGATCACACTCATGACCATCACAAAGCGTGCAGTCATCCACTCAAATCTTTTCTGCCTTAATTCATCAGAGAGATTAGTTATTTCACCTTTTCGAATAATGATGTCGGCTCACATTTGAATCAAACTTTTTTTATTAAACCTTTGTACTCCATACTTGGCAACATGCACCCACGGGCTCCTTGGCACAATCCTCACCGTACTGGTGGAATCCCCCTGTGACACCAGAACACGCCAGCAAGGAAAGGTGATACAGAGAAATGGAGAGCATTTCAAATTTGCCAAGTGCAAAATGAAAAAAAAAAAAAAAAAAGGAAGTAAGTTTGAGTCAGCTGCAGTGACGATGGATGGGACAGACGCGCAGGGCGGAGAGGTGGGATGTTGAGTAAAGCGTAGGCTCGCTTGACGTGTGTCGGAGGTGTTTGATTCACAGCAGAGATGACGCGACTCCATCCAGTCTCCTCTGTGTCTTGGCTCAGCATCTATAGGTGTCTCCTTCCAAACCCTGATTCGTGATGGCACGTGTGGAGGGATTAGGATTAAAGC